CGCCACGGGTGCCGATGGCCTCCCTGCCTCTGGATACACTCAAGTCACTCTGAACAACGGCAAATTGCTTTACCAAAAAAATTACATGCCGGATAACCAACAAGTGCAGTCTGATGATTCCTATCAGTCATGTCATTTTAATAATGGAGAGGGGCGCTTTCATTTCCAGCGAGGTACACTGAGTACAGATGATGGCAGGCTCATTAGTTTTGATTCAGTGGGTTCATTGTCAGTTAGTTCTAGCAATTACAGTTCTTTAAGTTTAAAGTCTTGCGAAAAGGACGGCGAGGATGATATTAATGATGATTTCTTGGCCCACTGCAGTCCCAAGCTAGTGATCCAGCAAAGCATAGATGAAATCAGCCCGTTGAAGGAGTCCACGGACCTTTTAGACATTTCCAACTTCACGCCTGATAGGTTCCGCCAGTCGTCGCTTTCGGAGATGTCCCCTCCGGACACCCCCAACCTGTCCCCGCAGATAGCTGGCTCCGACGCCAAGCCTCTGGGCACCCTGAAGGGCTTTCAAGAGAGCCCCCAGGCTGCCCTCAACAGCTCCGAGAAGGTCAAGTGGAACTGTGGGGTCCTGCAGAGCGAGGATCAGGCAGATAATGGGTTTGCTTTAAATAATCACCAGTTCCAGTTCCATATGTTCAACGATGAAGATTCTGTCAGCCTTCTCGAAAAGAGTCCATGCTTGTCAACATTTAATGAGCCATCTGGTCAAATTAGCACCAATAGCAAAGTGTCAAAATCGAAGAGGAAAAGTTCATCCAGCAAGAATGTGGGTACAAACCAAAGCTCTTCCCCGAAAGCCACCCGGAAAAAATCACCCAAAAGCAACAAAGGAACGGATAAGCCGCCAGGGAAAAACTCCAGGCAAGCACCCAAATCCACCAGGAAAGGGAAAAATGCAGTGGGAGTCAACGGCGAGAAGGCTCCGGCTGTTGGCAGCAGGGTGGTCAATCAGCTGAGCAACGTGGCCACCGCCACCAAGGGCCTTGCCGAGAGCTCTCAGCACTGCAGCCCGGCCGGGGTGAAGCTGGGCAAGCACAATGGGCTGTCCGGAGAGTGGGCACTGGGAAAAGAGGGGAGCACGGGCTGGTCGGAAGCCAGCTTGGGCAATGCCACCAGCCTCCTGGACGACGATCAGCGGGAATTTGAGGAACCTTCCAACATCCTGTCCAACATTGCGTCGGGAATGGCGGATGTCCAGAGGTTTATGATGGCCTCCATTGAGCCCTTGTGGGGGCCTGTTAGCCACAACAGCGTTCCAGACATATTCCGGTCACCGGAATCCAACAGCCTGAAACTGAAAACTCTTAAGATTTTGGCAGGGACATCCCAAGAGTCAAAGAAGAAGGTGAACGGTGCCTCGCCACCAGCAGCCAAGAACCACAAGTCAAACAACAAGGGCTCAAGCAAAAACGGCAAAGCCGCAACCTGCGATCCCGGTCGTCCCAACTGCTCAACCGGGTTCACCACGGACATTCCCACTCCCTTTTTTGATAAAAACTATAGTAACCTGAGCACTTTAGGCAATAATGGACCTACCCATAAAAAACTCTATCGCCACAAATCCAGTTCGAAATCACTGCGGGATGAGAACTGTAAAATCAAGCGAACGGAGCGCGAACAGCCCCACAAGGACCCCCCCGTGACAGCTGCTTTTGAGAAACTGAGGTAATGCTGCACCAAACTGGCTGGAATGCCCCTTAACCTCCTTCCCACCTGCTAGGCTGTTCCTCGGTTTTTCCTTCCTTGAAAGCAAAAGTTGCATGAAAAAACAAACACAAAAAAAGACATTCCCCTTTTTTATCGTTTTGGTTTTGGGGTTGGTTTGGGGTTCTTTTTGGTTGGTTTGGTTTGGTTTTTCCTTTTGAAATGCATGAGAATACTTCTTACTTGCAAGCTACCTAAAGAATGACCAATTTTCTGGCTTGGCTGGGGGTAAAAACAAAACTAACAAGGCTACTCTTTCCTGCTGTTTGGCTTCTTCGGTTTTTAAGTCCTTATTTATTGGGGGGAAAACGAAACAAACCACGATTTCACGCTGTTTTTAATGATTTTGGAAAGACTTTTTTTCTTCTTTTTTTTTTTTTTTTTGGAACATTTTGTAAGGAAAAAAAAATTAAAAACAAACCACAAAAAAAAAAAAAAAAAAAAAGAGGTTATGCATCCAAAAGCCAAGATCTCGAAACTTAAAAGGCTCTTTTCCTTTGCAAATGAGAACTCGCTCCTAATTGAGCTTCACGTGGCAATTTTTGAGTGCTTTCTGGCCCCCTCTGCTGTTTTATCTCCTAACCTGCATCATCTGTAAGGAAAAAAAAATTAAAAACAAACCACAAAAAAAAAAAAAAAAAAAAAGAGGTTATGCATCCAAAAGCCAAGATCTCGAAACTTAAAAGGCTCTTTTCCTTTGCAAATGAGAACTCGCTCCTAATTGAGCTTCACGTGGCAATTTTTGAGTGCTTTCTGGCCCCCTCTGCTGTTTTATCTCCTAACCTGCATCATCGAAAGCTGCATCTTCTCCACCCGCCCGCCTTTAGCGCGTTCGCTCCGTCGTGGTGGTGACTCCAGACGAGCTAACTTAAGATGGCATCAAATGTTTGATTTTTTTCCTGCAGGGAATCAGACTCCATTCTTCTTAAAGCAGAAACAACAGTTTTGGGTTTTCCTGTATTTGAAGAAGAGACTCCCTTTTCTAGAAAGACGGTTGATGTTTGTTTCCTTTTGGTTTCCTTTTTGGGTTGGGTTTACTTTTTGGTTTCCCATCGGTTCCTTTTCGAAATCTGCCTTGTGGTACGTTGAAATGTAAGTGCTGAAATGAAGAGTTTGAAATTGTGGGAATTTTATTCTTTGAAAGCAAAACCTAATCTGGTATTCTCTGTGAAAGACTGTTTTAAAAGTCATACTGTTGTACAGTAGTTTATGCACTATTACCCACAACAACAAAACAATTGTGCCAAACTATGAACAAGTGACTGTATTGTATATATTTTTACTTCTCTATCAACATTGGGTTGTGAGTGTTTTCTGCAGCTATGCCTTTTGGTTTTACTAGAAACATTCCAGTTGTTAAGTACTAACCACCCCCCTTTGAAAGCACCTGTAACTCACGAGGAAAACGATATCGTTCACTTCTACAACTTACCAAAAGTTTTATGGACATGACTAAAAGTGTGCCAAATTTACTTACCTCATTTCATGGATTCACCCTGTGGTTTAAAGCTCATAAAGGGAAAAAAAAAAAAAAAAAAAAAAAAAAAAAAAAAAAAAAAAATAAACCTGGGGGGGGAGGGGGAAGGAAAAAGGAACTTTGAAACCGATGCTGGGAAATGGTAACGTCCTCTCTTTGAAACCATGAGCAGAACAACTTCATGGTGAAGTGTTGAGTTTCCTTACAGGAGAGGGTTGAAATGGTGGAGGAGTTCAGAAACCCACTGACACGGTAAGTTTGCCAGGAACTCAAGTGTCTGCATCTAGAGACTACAGAACAGCTGCTTTTCAAGTGTCTGTTTTCTTAAAGCAAAACCTGTAGCTGAAGATCATTTGAAATGCAAAGTTACATTGCTAATTCTTTGTATCTCAGTTTTATATATTTTATAAGAACCTGGGATGAATTCTAAAAGAGTTATAAAAAACAGAACTAATACGTTTCATATCTTTATTGCTATTTACTTTTCCTTTGAGTAGTTTCTTGAACATTTTCGATGCAGAGCCTGTCCAAAGCGCTCTCTTTGTCATAGCTTTGGTGTTTCCTACATGTCTAACCTTGCAATGCCAATATAGTTTGAACTTTCAACAGCAAAGTCATTAGTTTTAAATGCAACTCGGACCCTTTTCTTTGATTCAGTTCATAGGATCATAAAGACAAACGGAGCTATTTGTGATCTCACCAATCAGGGCCGGATCATACATGACTGGACTTTATCAAGACAGCATTAAGGATTGAATGCTAAATGTATTCTCAAAACGCCTTATTTGTAACCCTACTCACCACACCCTCACCCTCCACCACAATAACAAACCCAACAAATATCTCTTTTCCTTGTGCAACTGAGAGCCTGTGCATTTTGCTGCTGATTTCTTACGAAACCTTGATATGCAAGAGCCCTGCTAACTGGGAGCTGTTGGGAGCAGAGGGACATGAGGCTTGGACATGTTTATGCAATAGAAAATGGTGAGGAAGAGGAGCCTTAATAGCAGTCAGACAGGTCATGTTCTTGACCTGGTTGTGAGCGTAGGACTAGACTTGGGTTTCCTTAAAATAGGGTTTTTTCAGACCAGGTGCAAGGCAAAACAGCAGAATAGTTCTAAGTTAATTTGGCAAAACAGCAGAGTGAACACTTAGGGTTGAAGTGGAGCTGTAGAGTGTCGATTTAGAATCAAAATGTTTTCAGCATTTGCAGATTCTCCAGGTACAGCTTAGGCTCAGCTCTGCAATCCCTCAGAGAACAGCGCCGTAATTGCATTGCGTTTTGTTTAACAGATGAAGGAAGGAAGTAGGAAAAATAGGAATTCTGAAAACCATCCTCTAAGTTCAGTTATGCCATGAAAAATGCAATGTTGGTGTTGGCCGGATGAGAGCGGTCCCTGGGTACCCTGCGGGGTGCAGCATCCCATCCCAGCTCTGGCTCCCGGAGGTTGATCCAGAGGGTTGCTCGGGGTTTATTTAGGAGTTGTGCTAGAGCTCCATCCCTGGGTGTTAGGCTCCCCTGCAGCCACCGTGCTCTCCCCTGCTACCCCAGTACCTATCTTTCCTATTTGTATGGTCATCAGGTATTACAAGCTCCAGCCACTGCCATGGTGTTGGTGTATCCTGTTTTTCCAGCATTCCTCCTGCATGCTGCAGGAGAAGGAGCTGCCAGCTCCCTTCTTTCACACATTCAGGCTGCAGCTCCTATGGGGACAGGTCAGGTCCAGGGCTGGGATTTGGCACGGCTCTTCTTTTTGACCCAGAACCATCATTTGCAAGCACATTTCAACTGGCCTGCACTGTGCTTGTTATGCTTAATATTGTGAATATGGGACTCATTGTAATAAGATACCCTGTACTGAACCAGGTAGCAATATTTATTGCATGTGAGAGATGTGCAAAAGGGCATGAAGATAAGGCATAGAACGCATTGGCTGTTTTGTTATACGTTGGAAATCCATGAATACCCAGCTAGGTGTTTCAGGACGCTGTTAATCGCAAATACCAGCTGCCTTGTTGCTCTCTCCTTCAGTCCTTCTGATTTTGCTGCTGTCTTTGGTGGTCATCCCTTGTCCTCCCAAAAAATCTCTGACTGGGAAGATGTTCAAGAGCTGGTTTCCTTGTGGTGTGGCACTGGCCCTTCTCTGTGGCTGAAAAAGTGATCTCTCTTGATTGACCCCCAAATTTGGGCCGTTTGTCCTCCTTCCTCTTGATCTTGATAGAATGGTTTGCGTTGGAAGGAACCTGTAAACCTTCCAGCCATGAGCAGGGACATCTTCAACTCAATCAGATTGCTTAGAGCCCTGTGCAGCCTGGCCCTGAATGTTTCCAATGACGAGGCATCTGTCGTCTGTCTGGGCAACCTGTGCCCGTTTTCACCACCCTCATCGTAGAAGATTTCTTCCCGAAGTCCTTCTCCACAGGGCTGCTCTCAATCCCCTCATCCCCAGCCTGTGTTGATACTGGGGTTTCTCCAACCCAAGTGCAGGACCCTGCACTTGGCCTTGTTGAACCTCGTGAGGTTTGTATGGTCCCACCTCCCAAGCTTGTCCAGGTCTCTCTGGATGGCATCCTGTCCCTCAGGCATGTCAACTGCACTACTCAACTTGGTGTCATTTGCTGAGAGGGCGTTTGATCCCATGGTGTTACTGATGAAGATACTAAAGAGGCTGGTCCCAGTACGGACCCCCGAGGGACATCACTTGTCACTGATTGCCATCCAGACACTGAGCCATTGACCACTACCCTCTGGATGTGACATCATCCGTCCTCATCTACTGAACAGTCCATCCGTCAAATCCATCTCTCCCATTTAGAAAGAAGGATGCACCAGGGGATCATGTCAAAAGCCTTATAGAAGTCACAGAATCATTACATTCTGTAGCTCTTCACTCATGTAGTCACTCATAGAAGGCCACTGGGTTGGTCAGGCAGGACTTGCCTTTGGTGAAGCCCTTATTATTCTTTGCATCCCTTGCCAAGTCCAGCTCCAGCCACTCCTTGTCCTTCCTGACCCATCCCTCCACAACCAGGCAACGTTCCTGTACTCTCCCCAGGGTATCTGTCCCTGCTTCCACTGTGTGCATTTCCTACTTGCCCTTTACTCTGACCAGCAGGTCTCGACGCAGCCAGTGCCGGCCTCTTGCCTTCCTTTCCTGATTTCTTATACCTGGGGATCAAGAGCTCTTGCGCTCTGTGGGAAGCATCCTTAAAGATCTGCTCTGCTCCCTTGTCCCTGCAGGCAGTTCCCATGGGAGTCCTATTGACCAACTCCTTGAAGAGCTGCAAGTCTGCTTTCCTAAAATTCATCTCCACCTGCCTACCACTACCTCAAGGTTTTCATCACTTCCCACTTTGCCTCACTCTTTGCCATTCCACCTCTTTTCCACTTGCTTTTCTTGTCAGTATTGGTGAGGATTTGTTTTTTATGGCACTGTTCCCAGCTGTGGGAGGGCCGGGACACGGCTCCCACCCATCCCTGCCCACCATCCACACACTCCAGGGCTACCCGTATTGGCTCTTGTTTCAGCTCATTCTCCTGCCCGGTCCCATTGCACTTCCAGTCTCCTCTTGCATCTTCTTGGGCTCCTGCAGGTTTGGGGCAACTAATCCAAGCCAGGCAAAAGACTTTTATTCTGCAGCATCCATTAAAACGTCTTTTCTACTTTATCTTGTCTCATTCCTACTCTAAGAGGTGTCCCACTGGGCGCTGTATGACAGGACCAGTGTTGGTGATGCTGCCCTCTAAGCCACGCTGTGCTGGCACACTGCGGCTTGGGCAACCTATAATTGGCAGTGAAATTAGGAAGAAGAAATCAGCCACTTGCAAAGAAAGGTCATAAAATCCATCCGAGAGGAGAACAACGTGGAGCACTTCCTTGTGGCTCTTGCTCCGCCTCCTGAAGGAGTCCTGTGGAATGGGAGCATCCATCTCCCTGCAGTGACTGCAGAAAGAAACCCTACAGCGACGTAGCAGTAGCCAGCCCTCCCCCAGTGCCCATCGCTTGCTGGAGGTACTTGCATATAGAGGTTTTGTAAATAGAAAAATAATCAATGATGGGGATTCAAGTAATAGGTTTTTATAAAAGAAGAAAAAAACTCCTTACCAGGTTTACATCTTGCTTTTCTTTTTATAAGCATAAAAAGGGGGGATTTCTTGAACAACAGCATGAGAATAATGACCGTGGACCAGATTTAGGCGTTGTTCTGGGAGGAGGAGGAAGAGGAGGAGGAGGAGGAGGTGAGTAGAGCATGAGGGGCTGTCCCTTGCTGGTGCTGCACTGTCCTGCCGAGGCCAGGTCTGTGTTCAGAGAAAGAGCCAAGGCTGTTTTCAGCCCAGCCACGGTCCCTTTGTGAACCCGTCGCTGTTAGTTTTTCTTGGCACTATGGCTCAAGTGAGCCATGAACCAAAATACAGATGTTTTAAGCATTTTCATCTCTCACCTGCTGGACCATATTCTCCTTTCCCTAAGGTCATGATCCAGCAAAGCACTCGGGTAGGTCCCATAGGCTCCTGCTTCCCGAGTGCTTTCCTGGATGGCAGCGGCCTTTGCTGTTAAATCATGAGCAAAAATCCCCTTGAGGTCAGTGTAAGTGAGCAGAGGATCAGGTGTGTGGGCTTCAGTCAGTGCAGGATCAGGCCCTCGGTCTTACTTTCTCAACTTGGTGTGTTGGACTTTGCCTGTGCAGCTCCCAGAGGGTCCAGTGGAAGTTGCATGGTTCAAGCCGCTGACATCTATTTGAGAATGTGCCTCTTTATCTCTTCAGCATGTGAAATAATGCAAAAAAAGGAAAAAAAAAGGAATTAAATATATATAAAATAATCAAAGTACAATGTCTGTGGTAGAAGCAAGGCTTTCAAATCTGTTTCTCAGGTAAACAAGTGACACTAATGACAGTGGAGTAACAGCCATCTAAGGGAATTGGGATTTAAAGTAGGAGGATGCCCTCCATCTCGCAGGATGCTTGGGTTGCCAGACACGTTTACTGAGCCTTTGAACACTTGGTGCAAAAGGAAACCAGAAATCAAATTGATATTCGCCACTACCCTTCGCTAG